CTCAAACCACAGTATACCACCCGTCGTCACCGCAGTTCCACACATAGTGAGGGTTCGCAACAGCAGAGGTCATATCAACCCTCAGGGTGCTGGTGTTTTTGGAAAAAATAAACATTTGTAAGTATGTTGGGTTCGAATGCAGGGCCGCTGGATTCGAACCCGGGACCTTAACCTTACAGTGATGAGCGCCGTGTCAACGCCTAAATCGTTGCGACAACCGCTGCCCCCAAAACACAATATTACCTGAACATATTATCTGTTAATCTTCAAAATGTTCAAATCCAAAGGTCAAAAGCTATTATTTGTTTTGCTCTGGCTACCATGAAACCACTCTTTTTTTCTGACTTCGAGAAAAGAGATCATTTAGCATCCATCGCCTCTATGACCTCCCATGCACGCATGCTTAATAAATACAAAAGATTTTTGGAAGAATGCATTTACAATTTATTACACAAGCTCAAAAGAATTGAAACAAAATATGTTACAACTAATTACCACGATCAAAGAGGATGTTTCGACGTTCACAGCTTCCACTTAGTAGAGATCGAAAATTGACCATATGGACAAGGAATCTGACTAATCCGCTCCTGTCCTGCCTGTTCTCATGTTTTTTATTATTAAAGTTTACTTATGAGTTTAAAATCATTACCTTCTTTGGTAATTTGGTTTCGGCTGTTTTATCCCATTGTTCTTAAGAATCTGAAACATTCGCACACTGAACCAGTTCGGCGGTTGTTGCGGTTTTACTAAAACTGCAGGCTCGTTTCCGACCTACCCAAATGAATTAATAATCGGGTTCAGGCTGGAAGTAACCCGATGAATTTCATTATGCTATAAACAAAACCGCATAAGTGATTTTTACTAAAAATGGGTCATTGATATTAAGCTTCAATATAGCTGAGCTTTTGACAGTTAATGTGAATCAATAAAAACTGCGGCTGACAATGGAAGAATACAACATCGACCATGCTGCTCTGGCTATACAGGGTGTCCTTTTTAGATGGCCCATCTAAATTTCTCTTGAACCAATGACGCTATAAAAAATACGTTTTTAACGTTTTTTAGTCTAGTTTTAAATTGTTACCTTTTTGAAGAAAATATATACAGGGTTTCTCAGGCCCATAATCCAACATTTCAAATACAGCCCTATACATCCTGAGATATCATTTTAAAGGATTTTTCACGCTGAAAACAACGGTTAAATCGGATTTAAATTTAAAAATGACAAACTTATGGCAAAAAGTTTGAAAATACGCATTTCGTTGTTAATTCCAATAATTTGCTTCTTCGCTAAAGTAAACATTAATTGCTTTTATTGTTTACATTCTGTCATTGTTTGTCAAACTAGTATTATGAGAGCAAATTTTAATTCCTGGAAGTAAATAAATTTTAGAACAGTACCTACTGGTTACATTCAGTACTCCATTCAAAATGAACCGAAGAGCTCAATTTTTCCGATCAACAGCGAGTGGATATGCACGACTGATTTATTGATAGTGTGAATTGCGCGTCGTGCAGTCGAGTGTACTGACAGAAATTTCCTGATCGCCTCAGAGTAAACCACAAAACGTTTATTCGTGTTGCTCGCAGTATGAGGAGATGCGGATCAGGTGCTGTTCCATCACCAAGAAACCGACAGCGTGATTTGTCGAGGAGCTGAATATTTCACAGTGTCTTTAAGTAAGTTTGAGATAAAAAAGCCAGTGTCACGAGCGGGATTCGAACCCACGACCTTCGGCTAAATACGCCGCTGCTCTGCCACTTGAGCTATCGTGACTTCGATCCACTCGGACCACTTTTTATCTCAACGAAAAACCGTAATTAATTGAAAGATATTAATTGGTCAAGCGGACCACGAAAATTAGTGAATTTAATGTTAAAATGAAGTATATCTTCACTAAAGCTCTCCGTGGCCATTTCATTTGTCGCCGAGAATCAAATAGACTATACGACATTTGAAAAATGGCAAAAGGAGAGGAAATTTTCTTACTTGTAATAGCATACAAGTTTACCGCTGACAGAGAGAAAGAATAGAAATTCAACATTCCAAGTGTTACCATAAATCCATTAGAGTTCGTGGTCCGATTCTTCTTTCAATTAATTAATCTTTCTGTAAGGTCTTGGTTGAGATAAAAAAGTCAGTGTCACGAGCGGGATTCGAACCTACGACCTTCGGCTAAATACGCCGCTGCTCTACCACTGGCTCTGTTTCATGAGTTTTGATGTTACTCGCGTATCTGCTTTGCGTCATCTTCAGTGAGGAACTGACCTTTTAAGTGACCAAATGTACGTTCATACACTTTACCAGACTTGAAGCCTAGTTGTTAATTTGTTAAGAAAGCTCTTTGTTATTACATCACACTATTTCATTTATATTTCTTTAAAATAATTATTTAGAATTTAAATTCACTAATTTCGTGGTCCGCTTGACCAATTAATATATTACAATTAATTAAGGTTTTTAGTTGAGATAAAAAAGTCAATGCCACGAGCGGGATTCGAACCCAAGATCTTCGGGCTTGATACGCCGCTGCTCTACCACTTGAACTATCTAAGCTAACTTCCCATCTCAACCGCACCTTTTGAATTTTTCCTTGAAAAATGGCAAAAAGGAGGGAAAATTCAAAAGGTGCGGTTGAGATGGGAAGTTGGTGTCCGAGTGGATCGAGGTCACGATAGCTCAAGTGGTAGAGTAGCGGCGTATTTAGCCGAAGGTCGTGGGTTCGAATCCCGCTCGTGCCATTGACTTTTTAATCTCAACTAAAAACCTAAATTAATGTTATCATAAAGTTGAATTTGGAGCTTCTGTAAATAAATTAGAATCGGATATATAAATAAAAGGGTTGAGTTTTTTTGTTCATGTCATCTTTATTTTTTTCACTTGTAATGAGAAAATTTTTAACAGAATTGACACAGGTTGACATAAGAGAGATTCAACGTTCCAAAGGTTACCATAAATTGGAATTTGGATAAAACCTAGAGGAGTTACAAATTTTTATGTAGAACAAGAAGACAGAAAAAAATTTTTTAAAAAAAAGGCCGTCGGTCGCTTATTTACAGAAGCTCCAAATTTAACTTTATGATACATTAATTAAGGTTTTTAGTTGAGATAAAAAAGTCAGTGTCACGAGCGGGATTCGAACCCCCGACCTTTGGCTAAATACGCCGCTGCTCTACCACTTGAGCTATCGTGACTTCGATCCACTCGGACACCAACTTCCCATCTCAACCCCACCTTTTGAATTTTCCCTCCTTGTTGCCATTTTTCAAATTTCTTGTAATCTATTTGATTCTCGGCGACAAATGAAATGGCCACGGAGAGCGTTGTGAAGTAAACTTTATTTTGCTTATAAAATCGGTTTCATGGTCCGATTGACCAACTAAATTCTTTTCAATTAATTAATCTTTAAGTAAGGTATTGGTTGAGATAAAAAGTCAGTGTCACGAGTGGGATTCGAACCCACGACCTCGTCTCCGTGGCCATTTCATTTGTCGCCGAGAATTAAATATATTACACGGCTACAACCTCTATTCTATAGTAGTAAATTTTTTAAATTTTACCTGAAAATGGGTTAGAAGTTGTTAAAAATAAAGGTAAAATGACATCTAAATATGAATATAGAGTTGTATCCTACAAGGGTCGACCCTGTGAGCACTATTTTTTTTCGCAACAGCAGAGGTCATATAAACCCTCAGGGTGCCGGTGTTTTTGAAAAAAAAAAAACATTTGTAAGTATGTCGGGTTCGAATGCAGGGCTGCTGGATTCGAACCCGGGACCTTAACCTTACAGTGATGAGCGCCGCGTCAACGCCTAAACCGTTGCGGCCACCGACGCCCCCCATTTTGAATACTATTGTTTATCTTTGTTATTAATAGTATATGCAAATGTTTTAATGAATGCAAAGTTATATTAAACGTCGAAGATCATGAAATATACAGGGTGCATCAACTTCTATAGTCCACCCATTTAATTCGGAAACGATTAACTTTAACAAAACAAAAATGGTTTTATAGAAACCCCAAGTTAATTTTGGCTAGGAGTCGCATGGTCGTAACAGATTTAATATAACTTTCTCATCTAGCAAGGAAATGACACTAACTTTGTTAGTTTCAATAAAAATCCCATATCTTTGTTGTACAATTCGATTCTACAGCTTCTTTTACGCCAGTTTTACTGAAAGGAAAATTTTGATAGAATCGACCACTTCTGAGATATGCCCGACGGAAGACGCGTGACAACAAGTCAGCCCATTCAGTTTATTTGGAAAACGATTAACTTTAGCAAAAATTGTCCTATACAAACCCCAAGTTAATTTTGACTAGGAATCGCGTGGTGGTAACAGATTTAACATAACTTTCTCAACTAGCTGGGAAATTACACTAACTTTGTCATTTTAAATAAGAAAACAATAGTTTTATTGAACAAGGAAGTAATATACCTAAGAGTAGCATAATTATAATGATTACGATATTAAATATACAGGAGAAAGCGTTAGAGAAATTAAAACGACACTAAAAGAACATTTGCCTACCTCGAACAAATTTTCTGAATTTAAGTACCATCTAAATGAAACAAAACACAATTTCAATTTAAATACAACAGGGTTACACAGTTTCATCAAAGAGAGGGAACGCGATTGGTTTTGAGAAATTTGAAAAAAAAGTAAAATTGAACACGTAGATAAATGCATAAATAATATCACAAATTTCGATCTGCCTCCTGTTTTAAACATGTACCGAAATAATTTTTGAAATACAAATTAATCACTAATTTAAAATTATTTTCTTACAGTATTTATTAGGATAATATTGTGTTATGACGGAAGGTTTTTGCACGTTCAGAATTAAAAATTATTCTCATTGGAACGTTGCATTGACGCGTTTGTAACCACTGATGATGAGCATTTAATGCTTGAAATCAGGATGTTTGTAAATAACAAATCTGTGTGTTCAGCCGTCATTTTCAAAAAGTGAAAAAAGGTTAATTTGTGGTTTTAAAACGCTTAATTTTATAGAAAAAGGTTTATTTTGTCTATGCGTCCTCATAGATTGAGTTTTTTTTATGGAATGTTATGCCCCATAACTTCGTCTCCCTAGTTAAAACTGTTTTCATTTTTTTTTTTTTTTTTTTAAGGGTACTTTTATATTAAGGTACCTTTTATTTGATAATGGTGACAAAAACAATTGAATCTCAAAACAAAAAAGTGACTTAATGACTTAATCGTCTTCTTTTTATTTATGTAGGAGTATTTACTCTTTTCCAATTGTACGGTCGTCTGTCTAAGCTCATTAAAACCTACTGAGGAGGTGAATAAAAAATTTATATACCCGTTGTAAAAGCTTAAATACTCGTATTTGCTTTAATAATTAAAAAAATGAAAATGGTCATTTGCCTTCCGTCCTGTTTAGGATGTGATGATTTTTCAGAACAATAAAAAAAATTCTATCGGTCTGAATGATCAATCATAGACGTGCTTTCTTCGTCAATGGGACACAAATGTAAGTACATATCCTTCATTCAGGTAACGATAAAAATAATTAATTTAAAGAAGTAAAATTTTCTACTGAATTTGTTAGATTTTGAGCCTGTTCTTTAAAACACTGATGGACCAATTTAACGCACCACTCAATTTATTTAGTTTAAAATTAAATCCATTATCTTTCTACATTGGTTACAGGCAATTAGGAGCTACCGCAGTCAAAATAAACAGTAAATAATGCTTCGCTTGCTCCCTTTATTTTTGTATTGATTAATCCCATGTGGACCAAAAGTAGCGTTATGCCCTTCCATTCTGCTACGCCAAAAAATTGCTTTCAGTTAATCTTTTTCCTTAGTTGATTTCATTTGATATTATTGTTATACTTTTTTCAATGGCTCCAGTCAGAGATTTGAGTACGTGTGACAGTGTCCGGGTCATAATGTTATTAGAGGAAGGAATCAGTGAAGTTGATAGGAGACTGAATGTCAATTTAATACACTCTACAATAGGAAGGGTTCTTTGGCGCTTCAGAGAAACGGCTTCATACTAGGACAGGACAGGGTCGACCTAGGCCTACAGACAGGAAAAACGATAGATTCATCCGTCATCAGGCTGCACAAGACCAGATTACGGGAAATGAAATAAGTCTGATAAGACAAGTCTGAAATGTTTTGATTTCCTCCAGGACTGTAAGAAGAAGGCTCTATGAAAACAAACTCAGGGAGCGGCACCTGGCCCAAACCTCTTCTTACCACAGCTCCAAAAATGGCCAGGGTTTCTATTCGCATGGGAACATGTGGACATTGAAAGATTGTGGATGTTCTCTTTATAGATGAAGTGAGAGTTGGCCTCAAATCTTCAGATGGGCGTAATGTCGTGTGTAGAAGCTCAGGAGAAAAGTGAAATGAAATAAGCAATCTGATAAGACAAATCCGAAATGTTTTGATTTCCTCCAGGACTGTAAGAAGAAGGCTCTATGAAAACAAACTCAGGGAGCGGCACCTGGCCCGAACCTCTTCTTACCACAACTCAGAAAATGGCCAGGCTTTCTATTCGCATGGGAACATTGGAAGATTGTGCATGAGTTCACTTTACAGATGAATTGAGAGTTGGCCTCAAATTTTCAAATGGGCTTAATGTCATGTGCAGAAGCTCAGGAGAAAAGTACACCCCATGCTGTACGGTTCCTTAGGTGGCATTCCACAGTGTGTCATTGATATTCTGAGGTGGCATTTTCTTGGACGCCCACACCGAATTGGTTGTTGTGTGAGGAAGATCTTTAACTTCACGCAGGTATTTACAAGGCAATCAAAGAACGTATAGTGTCATTTGCCCTCCTCATCAGTGAGAGATTGCAGAATACTGCCAGGTCGCATAGAGCACTATTGTTGATGACTACTGGAATTAGGTTGGAATTGGGTGCTTTAAGCTAAACTTAAACACAGTAAAATTTAAGGGTGGTGCATTTATTTTGTTCATCAGGGTATTTACTAAGATATTTAACGAAACTTTATTATAGATAACACTTTACCAATTTTAGATCAAGAGATCCAAACGGACGATGTTATTATATTACAACCTGCTCCTGTGAGTTTGATTTTTATTATTGCATCTATAATTATATTAATCATAGACTCATCATTAAATTTAATATGTGAACTACAGGTTTTTTTATTTTGGTTTTTACAGGGGAAAAATGTAGCAGATACAGCTCAACAACTTCTCATGTTGCTCGAAAGATCAACTGTAGAGCATAGTCTGCCCCAAGGATTTCCCTATCTTCATGAAATGACTGAAAATGAACACGTTTTCAATCCACAGCATATTTACGTGGAGACAGTCGAGAATGGCTTTCTCATGCCTTCGGCGCCCTCAGAAACGTTGGACAATCAAAATTATTGCAATTACAGCGAATCATCGCAGCGTACCAGCTCGGAGTGCAGCGTTAAACCTCAAGAGACACTTATTTGGCTTATAGACTGCTTGTCCTGCTGGTTTAACACATGGGAATGCTATTTCTGTTAATTATAGTAAACTTTTAAATTTTAAAATGCTGGTTTGATAAACTATTCTGTAAATCCATATATCGACTTTAAAAAAAATTATTTTGCCTTATTGTTTTTTATTTGAAAAAAAAAAATTGTAACTAAACATTCAGATTAAATTTGTTTTCAAATTGATTTATTTTATGTACAAATTGTATATAGTGCTGAATGGAAAAGTGTATTACAAAACATACAGATATCAATGGATGAACTAGTATTTTTTATTCAGTAAACAAAATGAAACCTGTTGCGATCCGACCTGCTGAGCAAAACAAGCAAAAAAACATTATATCAGTGTCGATGGACCGGGTTCCCTGAGAAGCTCTTATGCATCGGCCAGAGAGGAACTATCGTTCCCTTGACTAATGTCCCTGTTAATGCATACTTGCCACATTACAGCTACTGAAAGCTGACCCTTCTTTACACTTCTCAATTGTATGGATTTAGGCTTGAAAGATACTTGTGTACTTGCCCATGAACATGGTTTTGCCTAACGGAAACGAGTCAAGTCGTAGCGTGAGTGAATGAGTGAGAATCAGAGTCTAAGTCTGATGGAAAAGAGCCAGGAGTCAGAGAGTGAGTGAGTATCAGAGTCTGAGTCAGGTGGAGAGAGTCAGGAGTTAAAGGTCAAAGTTGGAGCTAGAGAGTAAGCAAGAAAGTGGCAAAATTTGACCGACAGTTTTATTTCATTTAGCTTGGTCATGGTGGTCCAGCGGTTATGCCATTCTTTCCAGTTTTTGTTTTTAAGAAGATTTCTCACATCTGCTGAACTCACCGGTGTTTCATGTGGTGTCTTTTCGTTTGGTTGGCTTTTTCATTTCTGGCAGGATCCAAGACAGAATTATTTGTGATACTAGTTCTTTTAATTTATTTCTGTTTTTATTTTCTTGGATTAGTGGATCCACGGCTAAGATGGCACTGCCCAGAATTATTTTGTTAAATTTGGCGGGGAGTTTGTTGTGGTTCCAGGGGAAAAAAAGATTCAATGAATGATAAACCATCTTTTAATTTAGGCATATGAAACATTAGCATATATACACACAAAATACAATCATATTAATAGTTACATTATTAATTGGTATTGTAGAAAGAATGTTTAATTCCAGTTTCTAAATTAAATAAACAGTAAAAAAAGAGAATTATTTCTTTTACAAAATAGGGAAAAGTTGACCTCTTTATATTATAAAAAAAATTAATTTAAACAAAAATAAATACTCAGTTCACTTGCCATGCCAAATAGAAAATGAGCAATGTTAGTAATTGAAAGGAAGAACGTTTTTTCAGTAAAAGCTTAAGAAAATAAACATATCAACCAAACTGGCGTACAATAACTCAAATAAATTTTCTCTCTGTAAAGATTTCATATTTAAGTAATTCAAAAAATATTTCTTTCGACCCCTCTGGAATACTCGTGTGTAATTGAAATTCAAACCAGCAAGTTTAAATTGCTGTTATTTCAACAATATTTAAATGGTTTTGATAAACATATCTGCAGTTTTATTTATCCGATACAATTTTTCTCTTGTGTTTTATTTTCAATCAGATCAGGATGAACAATGAATTTATAACGGCCAATTTTTATGTATCACACCGAGATCACGACCTTAGAAAAGAAAACGCCAAGTTATTCAAACAAACCAATGGCAAAATAATTAACAAATGAAAAAATACACTAAACTTTTAATTTTGTAATTTAGCTATCACAGATTTTCTTTAAAAAATACAAATAATATATTTGAATAAGCAAATATAAACTTATTTTTAATGCAAGTTCAACATGTGATATTACTATTCACAGAAACAGATATAAATATATACAATTTATTAGCAAAATAAATATATAATTAATCGCGAGCCGGCATAATTTTTTCTCTTATCTGGCTCGTGATTCAACCATTATTATAAACTAATCCTTATAAGGATATATTAAGAAATTGGGTGTCGAATGTTTAAATGAACTTTTCCATCTGGTAACCTTTTCATTAAAGCCCAAGCCTCGATTCTAGACAGTTCGCTCAAGTCGATGTTGTTCACACTAATCAATTCATCACCAGCAAAAAGTTGGCCGCATTTTTCAGCACATCCGCCTGAAATAAATAACAATTTAAATTTATAACAAGGTAACAGTTCAATAAGCATTTAATACTGATACAATAAATTAATTCTGATTTAAGGATACACAGACACTTTTAAGCAAATATATGCATCATTTATGTCCACATAATTGAAGGGTGTTCTTTGGCTCCTGATAGAAAACCGACTTCAGAAGTTGCCCCTGAGCACGGCTATGTTTGTGTCCCATGTTCCATTTTTTGAAGGAAACAATGGCTGATATCTTATATGTAGTACCTGGTGTATATCTTCTTTTGTGTATATTGAGAGTGAATGTATTTATTAGCACGAATGTGTACTAGTGTGACAGGACCTATGACGGAATATTGAGTACACCATAGATCCTCAATTAAATTAGCTAGATTAATATGTAAGTAGTTAAAAAAAGGGTTGCTCAATGTTTCCCACTTAAATGAATGGTGTCTCTTGGCTCCATATATCCATATAGAGAGCGTGTAGGCCACTCGATATGAGACTTGTGCTTGAGCTGGGCCATATAAGGAAACATAGCTGTTTTCTTGTACATAATACTGGATAAACATATCATTTTCTAAGATTCTCAACTCGATTATCTAGATTATGCATAAAGAGTAAGAAAAAGGTTGCCTCACGTTTGAATAAAAAAGTGACATTACTTAAAGAAAATATGTATAATACAGAAATTTGCATACCTGTGAATATCTTTTTTACCGTTAGCGGCTGATCGCCAAAAGGTGAATCTTTTCCTCCTTCGAGACTGAAGCCCAGACCTGCACCATCTTTATTTAGCACCACAGTAGCCACCGGGCCCCATTTCAATTCCAAACCTTAACAAGACAATTTAGATTAAACTTACATTCATACTGAACTGGCACAGGGTCGCTTACTGAGTCTGTCTCCATTTGTGGGTTTTTGAGTTGTTAAAATGCGTTTGAGCATTGTGCCATACCTGGAACTGTTCCTCACTGAAGATGGCACAATGCCGAAATGCCTTTTCATAACTTAAAAACTCGCAAGAAGAGACAGACCCAGTAAGTGACCGTGTGCCAGTTCAACATGAGTTCACCTACTGGCAGACCAAAATCGATCATCAACATAAACTTATGTTTAAAAAATTTATTAAAAGTTTGTTGTTTAAAAAAAATATATTTTGCAAAATGTAAAAAAATTCAGAAATATGGAAAATTGATAAAATGATAGCCCTTCTGAACGTGTACAAACTTTCTGTTTAAATCAGGAGAATGTCAATTGTGCTGTTCATGACAGAACTTATAAACTTATTGAAAATGCTTAGGCCACCGACATCAAATTCCTTTTAAGCACTGCAGTAAACCCGCATTGATTGTCAGCACTTGTTTCAAGCATTTAGTTAAAAGCTTACCTTTTTCGATTATAGGTGATGTATATTTTGTATCTAATTGACGGCTCATTCTGATGTTATTCATTGTGCTTCTGTTTAGGCTGGATTCATCTGGAGTTTCTACTTTGTGGCGAGACACAACGAGCACAACTTCGGGTCTAGGGGCCTGTGAACATGAAATTCTTCCATCACAAATATGTAAAAAAGCAGAATGAAAGTTACAGATTATTTTTCAAATATGTCATAGTTTCTTAAATAATTGGAGGGTTTATTAATTTAAATTGTTCATATAGGTCATATATATATTGTTTTGGGGACTCATTCAGGGGAATCAAAGCATGACCTGTCAAGTCAACATACACATTGATCTATATGCTGAATACAATAAGCATCCCCATCGACCGTAACACACAAGCAACATCCTCTACTTACCAAGGAATTGTGTCATTCCGTCATCCCTTGATTCTTGCACTCCTTCCCTAATACACTGCAGGATAAACCAAAAAATGTAAATCCTGCAAAATCATTTCCGAACCCTCCAAAAATTGGACCCACTAAGGCAAATGCTTTTTTGATCTTTGTAACAAGCCAATTACATTTCTCTACATCCAAGGCACCTGCGTGGACAAATATGGCCTATTCTCAAGTGGGTGAATATGATTCATTGTTTACGGCTAAGATTCTCTGATAACCATCAAGCCGTAAGAAGCTTTTCAGACATCCATTGCAAGGTCACCTTTTGTTTGTTACTAAGTGCCCATACACTCAGAATAAGAGTAAGAGTTAAATAGAGAGAGAAAGAGATAGAGCCAGGAGTCAAAGAGTCAGTGAGAATCAGATGAAAAACTGCCATAAGAGATCATAGGAATAAAAGTCAGATGATCAGAGGGAGTGAGAGGGGGAAAGGAGGAGGACTGAGAGACTGAGATAGAGTGAGTGAGAGAGAGAAAGAGAAAGAGAGAGAGTGAAAGGGAGAGGGAGAGAGAGAGATGGAATCAAAGAGTGACTGAGAATCAAAGTCTAAGTCAGATGGATAAAGAACTAGAAGTAAAAGAGTCAGAGTTAACCTTGTAGAGTGAGTGAGGGAGAATCAGATAGTGAGTCAGATGGCTAAAGAGTCAGGAGCCAGCGAGGGAAAGAGAATCAGAGTCTATATCAAATGGGAAAAAGCCAGAAGTCAAAGAGTCAGAGTGTAAAATTGTCCTTAGATTTTTATTTATTTGTTATTCTTAACAACTGAACTCACATCTATTTTATTACAATTGTCATCCATTTGTGTATTTTATAAAAGTATTTGAATGTAAATTAATACCTTAAGTATGGCGAGGGATTCATAATGTGTTAATCCTTTCATGCTCTTTCCGTTAATAGAAAGTATTCGATCGCCTTTCTGTATTCTTCCGTCTCTTTCAGCTGGGCTTCCTACGAGTACCTTATGGACCTGAAATTAATATAATGGATAAATAGAAAAGCAGCTGCTAAGTTGTATAATTATTTCGACCTAACATGTCAGTCATGTTTTTCAAATTCGATAAAACTACTTACAGTAATTTCTTTAGCTTCGTAGTCTGCACCTCCTGCTAGCGTAATTCCGATACTACCCCCTGGATTGTCCCGATGGAGGATGACAACGACTACTTCGTGAGCATTTCCGCCATCTTCCAAAGTATGATTCGCTTCTTCAATCAATTGTGATAGTTCCTTAAGAAAACAAACATGGAAAAAACATAATCATTAATAATTAATTCCTGCAAATGGACAAGGCATGAGATAAATTTATTTATGCATAAATATCTACTTTCACACCATTGATAACAAATTACCTGTGATATCCTATATATAATTTTAAAAAGTGTAAGGTGAGGGGTTCTATCTCACGGCCAAGAATAAAGTAGAATGCTCCAAAATATGGAAAAAATAAATTATGGTGAATAATAGGTGAAAGACATTGGTAAGACAAGACTTTTGGCAAGATTTGAACAAACCGGAGTAAACTGCCCAAGCTTCTCAGGCAAAATAGAGATTAATACTCTTATTTGCTAATGTCGTTGATTCTTCTGACATGAAAGGTCACAGGATAATTTTACACCAAGATTTCTCACAGAATTGTGAAGAAGGATAACAGCAAGATATTAGGAAGATCTGAATACCCGACTCTGATCCTAAAAGCAATTAACGCCTACCATCTTTGAAGATTTTATAAAGTTAGCATTAGCCATGTAAAACTGAAAATGATCTGCATAAAGATATTTGTAGAGAGAGGAAGATTTATTATTTACATAAATGGAAAATAACAGCGGTACAATGACTGAACCTTGAGGGACGCCATTGAGCACCAGCCTTGTCCAATTGGAGTCTCCAGAATTGAGAGTATTGGTATTTATATATTAGGCGTGGTATATTGTAGAATTTCCTTTTGGGTTTTACAAGATCTCTGAATATGGGAAGAAGCCAAACTTGTCTGACAGTACACAATTGAAAGGAAAGCAATTAAAAATAAAAATCGGCATCTCAGCTAGTTTGCACTGCTTGTAAAACAGAAAGTCATCCATATGAAGATGATCTTTTGCAACAGGAGAGAGAGGAGGATGTATCATTTATGAAATGGGAAAATAACCATGGTCTAATGAATGAACCTTGAGAAACACCACTGAGGTATTGGTAAATACATATTGGAATTGATTCAAAGGTAGATTAGAAGAACTAAACATAGTACTGGATTAGTTAATGAAAATTTGATGTGAAATAGAACCGAAGGTATTAAAGAAGTCAAGAAGTACTAAGTCTGAGCATAATCCATGTTCTATGCCTAGGCGGATGTCATCAGTTACTTTGAGGAGTACGCAAGTACAGCTATGACCAGGATCTAAGAGAGCTAACCTGAAGGCATTTGGATTTAATCGGTTTGGATGAGTAATGGTAGTTTTCCAAGCCTTAGGAAAATCAGAGTGTATAAGAAAAATTTTAATTTACGAATTATGAAAGGTAGAGTACAAGTTTGTATCAAGAACGAGAGTGTTGTACAAAAATTGTTCCCAAACAGTTCTTCTCATTGAAGCAACATCCTTATTGACATTTTTCAATTCAAATCATCTGTTTATGCCAAAAAATGATCAAAAACGATCCTTGAAAAATTGGAACTGCATTTCATGCTGTGTCAATCTGACGCTGTATCTACTTTGGAATGAAATAATCGTACACGAAAGTTTATCTGCATAAAATTGGCCATTGCTAAAAGCAGAATTATTCATAGGCGATGGTAATGTGAATTTAAAAGTGAAAGTAAGAGTTGTAAGGGCGATAAATCGATTTTAGAAAGCAAAATTATTTACATCTGGCCTATTCCAAACCTACACATCAATTGCCATTTTCACTAGGTGCCGTTTTAAACCGGACTGCTTTGAAAAACCTTTGAAAAAAAGTTGAATTTGTATTAAAACATACAAAATAGACATTAGGGTCTTGTATATTCATGTGTCAGGAGGTGTTTCTACACGCAAAATTAACAGGAAAGTTCCCTTGACCTCTGTATGAATCTCAAAAATAATGGCGATATTTTTGGTTTTTTCTGTTAAAACTCGAACTTCTCCATAATTTATGAGAAAATTAATCAAGAATGTATAGTACAAAAGAAGATAAACCGGGAGATTCTTCTGTGTTACACAGATGGCTCCAAAAATGTATAATGGTACGGGTATGGGGATAAATCGGCTTAACTATACGCACCACATGGCCCTTGGGTCACCACGACTATCTTTCAGGCCGGACTGCCGTATCACAAAGCCGGTCCGTTCTAAAAACTCTCAAAGCTTACGTGATCAACTCAAAACCTATCTGAACTGCCAGATCAAACAGGAACTCTTGGAATAACTAAGAACACCACAAGCCCTAGGAAAGTATGCCATGAAGAAAGCAAAAAAAAAACTACCCCAAAAACAACTCAGAGAAAGAGTGAATGAGTGAGGGAGAGAGAGAGAAGGAGAAAGAGTTAGTGAGTGAGTGAACGAGAGAAAGGGGGGACGAGAGATTGTGAATGAGAGAAACTAGAAAGAGAGAGGGTGAGTAAATGGGAGTGAGAGAAGGAGTGGGGGAGGGAGTGAGAGAAGGAGTGGGGGGAGGGAGCGCGAGACTGTGAGTGAGTGAGTGAGTGAAAGAGAGAGAGAGAGAGAGAGAGAGAGAGAGAGAGAGAGAGAGAGAGTGAGATTGTGAGCGAGAGAGAGAGNAGAGAGAGAGAGAGAGAGAGAGAGAGAGAGAGAGAGAGGGAGAGAGATTGATAGCGTTTTATTTAGCCACGCAGAATAGGTCCCTTAGACCTCTCTTAATCCAACGTGGGTTATAACTGTGTGTGTGTGTGTGTGAGAGAGAGAGAGAGAGAGAGAGAGAGAGAGAGAGAGAGAGAGAGAGATTGTGGGTGAGTGAGAGAAACTAAAAAGAGATAGAATGAGTGAGAGAGAGAGAAAGAGAGAGTGAGAGAGACAGAAAGTGAGAGTTCCAGTCAAGGAGCTAGTGAGAATCAGCGACTGAGTCAGAAGTTAAGAGTCAGAGTTATAATAGTGATGGATATAAAGAAAACGTTTTCCTCTAAGCGGTTTACGATGAGATGAACTCCTACCCCTACTGTGTACACTAATGAAGATGATGAGAAGCCGAAACATGTCTAAACTAAACGAACTGAAACATACCGTCTTACCCAAACGATTGAAACCAACCCAACTACAAACATCAGTATATTGTAAGATTTACCCTCTCTTGGGGCCTACGGGATGATAAACTGCTATCCTTGCTGAGCCCATCGGTGAAGATGGTGAGAAGCGGAAACTTATCCGTCAGACCGAAACATTCTGACCAAAATGATCGGAAACGACCAAACTTCGAATACTGAAGGATTTCGTCTTGGGCTTTATTGGAAGATAAACTTGTAGTCTAGTCGTTTTTTCATCGTTTGCTATGTCTTCTACTGATAATGACGAGAAGCCGAAACCCTTGTTCGTGAATCTGTATACCTATGTTCTATATAATGTATTTTTAATATTTGCATAATCGTTGCTTGTTTTCCACATTTGTCTCATAATCGTAAAACGGAATTCGTGAAAGAGATGAAAGAACTGTTTACCTGCTGAGATATAAGACTTGTAGAAGAAGCTAAGGATGTGATGCTGCCGAACTGCTGTTCTTTTTGTAGGTTGGTTATAGAGCCGTATGGTGTTGTAGTCGGGACGTAGCTGTCGTCGCTAGTCGTCGAATCTATGGAGGATACGCGAGGGTGTTGGATGAGAACGTTTGCCGCAGAGTTGCTCGTTTTTAAACGGCCATTTGGAACCGAGAAATTGTCGATTTTTTCGAAAACTTTTTTCATGCTGTTGACATTGACGGGCTTTTGGTTCAACAAACTTTTGGCTGTTTTTGTCATTTTAGTCTCGGAAATTTTATGTGTTCCGTTTTCGAGTGTCTGCTTGTTGATCGTTTCGTTTTCCTTTTCTGGCCATTCTGACGTTTCGATCAATTTATTTCCGTCGAGACTATCGAAGCTTCCTTTCTCGACGAAAGGCTCCGGACTTTGGAGGGTGAAGTTGTTGTTGTTGGTATTGTTGTTGTTATTGTTTAAAATGCAAACATCATTTTCAGATTTGTCGTTGTTAATATTGTTTTCTATGGGTATGAAACTCTCGCCGAATGAAGAGTCGGACGCTTTCAGGCAGTCTTCGTTGATCGATGTGTCTTCGACGATTATTTGCTCGCTGACGATTTTTATTTCCAGCGTTTCGCCGTTGGACATTCTTTCCTGAGGAAGTTTATCGTCAATTTTACCAGATGATTTTGTGTGCAATCCTGTCAATTCATTGGCTAGTTCAGTATTCGTTTTACCGTCGGCAATTTGCACTTTTTGCATTGGAGGAAGTCCTACTTTCAAGTCCAGCCCACTGCTGAATTTGGCGGATGACAGAACGTTTTTACGATTTATGGCTTCGACGCTCTGCGGTTTTAAAACTCTCCTGCTGTCGACGCTGGATGAAGACGAGACGCTGCTGCAACTGGCTTGGGAGCCGGAAGTCAACGTGGACCCGATGGAGGAAGTGGAGGCCGTCGTTTCGGAAGACAAGGTCCTCTTCAGGATTAATCCGTTTCCATGATGATTGATGAAATTGTTCGCGTTTTCCGTCCTGTTGAGGCCGGGCATGGGCGAGTGTGGCGGGGAATATCCGTGTGATATGCTCGAACGGCTAGAGCTGACTGCGGAATCGTTGTCGCTTTCTTCTTCCGGACTTCTCATTTCGTAATTGTTTTTAATCTTGGAAGAATATTCGTATTTGAGTTTGTCGTTGCTGCCTTTTAAATTGGGCGAGTTGCTGACGTACTCAAAGCTCAAATCTGATATGGAGGGTGATGTGATGCTTTCTAAAGATTTGGGCTCGGATTGGTTTTGAGGGCTGTTGGTAGAGATGTTGACTCTTCCTTGCGGGACATTGCCGTTCTTGCCGACTTCGTTGAAGCTCCTGAGTTCTTCCCTACTCGAGCTCAGGGAGGAGCTCACCGACGACACGGACGAAGGTAGCCCGTAGTACAGAGCCAAAGACTTTCTTTTAAAGGCCGGAGAGTATTTCGGGAGGTCGTAGGAGTTCTCGCCTTTCCATGGAGGCACTCCTATCGCCGTTATCGGTTTGTTCGGGAGCGTCGCCGACGTCGTCACATCAGTATTAGAGTAAATTACATCGCGACATTTCTTATCTAGATTCGGCTTGTCGATCGGTAGGTCCGTACTGATTTGGCAGTCTTTGCTCTTGATTTCTGGAAGGTCGATGACAAATTGGGTCGTCGGGACTTCGGGAACTTTCTCGGGTATGACGAGACCTCGTAATTTCGACATACTCTTTTTTCTCTGCTCGATCAGGTGGTTGAGGGAAGACTTCCGCGCCTCTTCGGTCGATTTGCTGTTGAGCAACGGCGGTCTCACACCTACGTCAACGAGGCTCTGAGAGCGAGGATGGAGCTTAGTGCTCCCGCTGAAACTCACCGCTCTCGACAAGGTCGGCGTCTGAACGGAGTTTCTTTTGTCGAAACCCGTCGGTTTCGCGTCGGATTTGCGAGGCAGCGTTGAATATTCCACTCCCGTAGAAACGGGCTCGCATTCTAAGAAACCGCAAGTCAGGTCCGTCGTGCTCTGCGTCCTCTTGTTCGATTCGGTCTGTTCGAACTTTGATTTACTGTCTTCAAACGAGTTTCCAGTGACGTCGAGAAGGCTCCGATATGGTAACATGCCTTTCTTGATCTGTCCGTTTTTCGTGCCGTCGTTATTTTTCATGTCGGACAAAGGAACTTTATAAGCCGCGCTTTTATGAGACACATCGTCAGTGCTTTTAAATTTATTGAGTTTTACGTAGGAGCTGACCACGGGGGCCGGTTGCGGAGGGCAGGTCTTCTCTTGATTCGACGCTGCAGTGGAAAACATGGCTATTTTATCACGTACGCTTTTTTCACTCTTCTCGTCGTTGCGCCAGAGGCCGTGTTTGAAGGAGTCGGCGGAAGGCAGGCTCGTTTTCCGGGTGACAGGAGGATTTCCCTTGAACGAGTGCCGTTTTTCCATTTTGGGAGAAAACTGAATTTTCCCTTGGGGCCGCTCACGGCGCCTTGTCGGTATTTCATCGTAGTGGACGGGAAATTCGTGGCCATCCGGGGGAAGCCTCGGTGGAACAGAGATTTGATCTGAGGGCCCTTTGCTCAGCATTTTGTCAGCAACTGAAAAATAAAAACAAAACCATGCGTCAGTGATATTATTATAACTATACTATAAGCAACGGGTAGATAGAAAGGTTGTCCGATGTTTCCCACTTAATTGAAGAGTGAGACTTGGCTCCTTACAGAGAGCGAGTAGGCTAGATGTGAGACTTGCACTTGAGCTGAACAACGTGTTATCTGAGTCGCCAGTTCGGATTATTGGAGGAAAAAGGGCTGTTTTCTTGTATGTAGTATCTGATGTATATCTCGTGTTTTGTGTATATTGAGGGTGAATGTATTTATTAGTGTGAATATGTAGTGTGAGAGGTTGACAGCGCTATATTGATACCTCATAGATCCTCAATTAGAATAGCTAGATTATGTATAAACCGTTAAAAGGAGGGTTGCTCGATTGTTCCCACTTGATTGGTTGGATATCATTGCTTGGCTCCATATATAGAACGAGTTTGCCACCAGATATGAGACTTGCGCTTTATCAGGGCAACAATAGTTTCTATTGGGTTCCCCGTTACGCTTTTTTGCGAAAACTGGGGAGTTTTCTTGTATATACGCTTAAATATATACTTGATAGATATCTCGTTTTGCTTCGAAATTGAATGTATTTATTAGCGAGAATGGGTAGCGTGGCCGGGCAGATGGTCTAATATTGAGCGTTCCATAGATCCTAAATTAAATTAGCAAGAACAGTACAGGGTTAAGAGAAAAAGTTGATCGATGTTTCCAAATTAATTGATGGGTGTCATTTATATGGCTCCATATAGCGAGCTAGTAGGATATCAGATATGAAAATTGCCCAGGCAGCGAGTATTTGGGGCCTCTGTTAACACGGTTGATTAATTTATATAATATTTGATACCTCGTTTTGTATATCTTTTTTTGTCTTTTGATATTAAGTGTATTTATTAGCACCAATGTCTAGCATGAGAAGGCCCATTTCAGAATGTTGTATATCCCATAGATCCTCGATTATATTACCAAGATTATGAGTAAAGGGTTAAAAGAAAGCTAATTGTATTTGGGTTCCCTGTTGTGATTTTCAGCGGAAAAAGGGCAGTTTTCTTGCATGTATATAGTACTCGTTCTGTGTTTCCTTTTTGTGTCTTTTATATTGAAAATATTTATTAGCGCGAATGTGTAGCGAGAGAATGGCAGCGAAATTTTGGCCTCCTGTTCCGTTTTTAGAGAAAACAGGGCTATTTTTTTTCTAGGTAGTACTTGATATTCGTTCTGTGTTTCCTTTTTGTGTGTTTTATATTGAACATATTTATTAGCGCGAATGTGTAGCGAGAGAACGGCAGCGAAATTTGGGTCTCCTTTTCCGTTTTTAGAGAAAACAGGGCTATTTTTTTTTCTATGTAGTACTTGATATTTGTTCTGCGTTTCCTTTCTTGTGTGTTTTATATTGAACATATTTATTAGCGCGAATGTGTAGCGAGAGAATGGCAGGGAAATTTGGGTCTCCTGTTCCGTTTTTAGAGAAAATAGGGCTATTTTTTTTCTATGTAGTACTTGATATTCGTTCTGTGTTTCCTTTTTGTGTGTTTTATATTGAACATATTTATTAGCGCGAATGTGTAATGAGAAAGGGTGGTGTTTTAAACAATATAAGGAGAAAGATGTTGCGTAGTGCAACCTTCAGTTGATGACGATGAATCGTTTTTTTTAAATACTCCACAAAGGTTAGTCACTACCTAACTTTGTATTCAATTTTTATTAGATTAAATTAATAAATTTAAAGCTTACAAGTTGTTTCTTCGACAGGCACCGGATCTTGTTCCATCGTTCGGTTAGGAAAGGCGCATTCCTCCCCTGGAATCATAATAAAAAAAATTATTAATTAAACATTTAAAGCAAAACAATTTTAATTGTGAGAGACTTAAGCTGTTGTTAAAGGTCGATATTATACGCGCAAAATCCTAACCGAGTATATTTTTCTTTCCAGGTCGTGTCAACATAGTTGGATATGGGTTTTATCATTTTAATATTTGCTTGTCGATAGGAAGAAAAGAACTGCCAGTACACAACTCCATTACAAGACATTACTGCCATCCAATTCCCCTGTGTTCCAATCACTCCTCGGACAAATTGTCAAACTCGACTCAAAACAAAAGAACAGCATCAACTGCATGCATTCCCAGACACTACTCCTCCAGATACAGTGGCCTTTAAAAATCTCCAAGAGCATCTCTTTTCTTCAGACAAGACAAATTCTAGGACATAACCTTCAGCCCTGGTTCAGACCATCACGTGTCCCTCGATCTAATACAGCACAGTGGCTATCCCAGTAAACAACGCCATCCACTACTGGGACGTTACATCGACAAACGTCTTCCTTGGGCCCGATAAACTCGACTTAAAAGAAAAGAACCGTATAAAATACAGACATTCCTATCAATGGGGATACAGCATATCTCGCATATTCAGACGATTGCTAAACATTCAACAAATCCATTGGAACACTTGGGAAACCTACAGAAAATTCTCTCCTCTTTCGAAAAATGGCCAGACTCGACAACCAGATGCCGAGAGCCTTTTTTACTCATATCACCTCCTATAAATCTATGCCTACCTTAACAACCAGTGACATCCGCTATTGGGACGTTACATCGACAAAAGTCTTCCTTGAAACCGATAAACTCACTCAAAAGAAACTATCAGTATAAAATGCAGGCATTCTTCTCAATCCCGATATTCAGATGGTAACCATGTTTTCCGCAAATCCAGACCCTGTGAAGGGAAATGTCCAGGAGCATCTCTGATCTGTGGAAAAATGGTCAGACTCAACGAAACAAGATTCCCGGAAATAATCTTCACCTTCAAACTCGATTTAAAAAGAAGAAGAGTATAAACTACATGCACTCAAATCAAATGGGATATGACAATCCTTACATATTCTAGCGATAGGTCTTTCAACAAACCCAGACATAGTAGTCCTCACAAACCTCCACTATCTCTCCTGTTTGGAAAAATGGTCAGACTCGATAAAACCAAATCTTAGTAAATAATCTTCACCGCCATATCACTTATCTGATCAACCTCAACTACCTTCCTCTCTCAGCAACCTCCAAAGAACCCAGTCGCTCCAGTTCAAAATCCTTCAAACCGATCCTTCCTAGGCTTTTTCAATACAGAAGCCTCCCTAAAACCAACACTTTTTATCCCGTACCATTCCTGACCTTTAAGACGTCTATAGCTGGAATAAATAGTAACGAAAACAAAGTTGCTGACTCTAGCGCTTTTGTAACATAAAACTAAGGAAAATTAAAGGGTTGGAACTCAAAATTTCAAGGAAATTAAATCGCACGAGGTCCTGGAGTGGTTGATATCATGTTGTACGTACAAACCCACCATTAAGCTTTGCAAAATGACGAAATCGACTACAATGATCGGACGTCCGATGCTACATTTTCTCAAAATGGATGAAATATTTCAACTATTTGTTCATAGTCTTATTTGCCAACTAATTGTAGCAAACATAATCTATTCTTTCCATCGGTAAGGTGCCAATCCATACAAAAAGAAAACTCAGCATAAAACCGATTATGAGTGTCGAAGGCAATTAATCAGGACTGCCGATAAAAATACAAATTACGGCAAATCGTAGGAGCGTAATGATGAGAATAAAACCGAAATAGTTTCGGCAGGAGGCAAATTTCGAGAGTCGAAATTATATTCTGGAGGTCGGAAAACGTGTCTTTCGTGATGTCGAGCATTGTCGTGCCTCGGAGTTCTCAGAGGTCCGCTAACGATTTTGTAATGCCCCTTCAGACTGATCATATTTCAATCCCGCTAAAATAATTCAAAGTGGGATAATCGAAGATTGTCTGATCTAAAGCCCCAATTTTCATATAATTATGGGAAAATATGGCGTTTCTACATTCCGAAGGATAGCGTTTCATAATTGGTCATTAAACCCGTGAGGTATGAGCATTGAGTTCTGTATTAGATTGTACGATATAGACAAACCAGATCGAGACGCTCAAATGACTCCACTTGAACAAAAAAATACGCAAAGAAAAAGAAGCAACAAGGCGCGGAGTCCAGCGATGACCTCAGCCGTCTGCCGGCTCCTAAACCTCACATCATACTGTATTAGTTTGCAGTGAACTTTTGATTATTGCAACTTATGTAATTTGGGGTGATCCAATAGCGTATGTTACGCAGATACCCTGGCGACAATCATCAAGGGAAAATTGATGATACGATCGTATCAGATGTAAAATGCACTTAAGCTATGAGAAAATTTATTTAAATATCAACTCTAAGAAAACCTCTCTCGTACCTAAAAAAAAGGAGGACGCGAAATATGAAAGTACCCACTCTAAAAAATGAAATCTTAAGCTTCTCTAAAGAAGCTAAGTATCTAGGTATAGCCTTTGATCAAAAGCTCAAGTGGATAAGTCATATAGACAACCTAATGGATCAGTAAAGTATGTTTACTTCAGAAGGCCTAGGTACTATTAAGCATTGGCCAGAAAAGGCCTGCTTTTAGGTGTAAACGGTTACACCTAAAACCACTCACTTCATAAGATAAAGTCGTAACCATTTCCAAAGAAAATAAAGACCTTTGACCAAAGGCTCATGTGGATCAGTTTCAAAGGTTCCATTGGAGAAGTCATAGACAGCATACTACATAAGACCAAGGCGATACTAAGCACTGACCTAAGAGGCTATAACTAAAAGCTCTCTACAAAATAAAGCTATAACGAAAGAAACTAAGAACCTATAACCATTGATCAAAGGCTCGAGTGGAGAAGTCATACAGGCCATACTACACAAGGCCTAGGCACTACTAAGCATTATCCAGAGAGACTAAACCAAAAAGAACCCACGCTAAAATATTAAGCCATAACCTTCTACAAAGAAAGTAAGTGCACGTAGGTATGACCTTTGACCAACGTTCAAGCGGTTAAGTCCCTACTTTGCATCGGCCAGGGATTCTACAACCAAAACTGAGAATATACCCAAGAAGATGTATTATACGAAATTACATGAAACCTAGACACATATTGAGCTCTAATATGGGGCCCAAAACACTGCATAATAGACACAAAACAAACTAAAAAGCCTGCAAAGACAGGAGTGCCTTTAAGGTGGCCATTCACGATCGCTCCTAGCAGTCCAAACGGAGCGACGCCGTTCCAAAAACTACGTCAATGGCAAAACTGAACTGGCCTGCCCGGCTGTGCCGAATATTCGACGGTCCAAACTCCATCGCGCCACTCCAAATATCTACGGCGCGACGACGGCATGGCGCGTTCGTGAATGGGAAAACTTGGCGTGGAGAGTGGGGATTTTGGCGCGCTGGCCTGGTCGTGAATGGGAAAACCCTCGTTTTTTTGGCGCAATCTCCGTCTTTATGTCACTGAGCATACATCTCCTTCGTACATTCTCAAAAAGTCAAAAACGTTTATTCTTTATTGGTCCAATCGAGTTTTATTGTTGAGGTGATTGAATTGGATGAACGTTTACCATGTTTATGAAAGTGGTGGACAATGATTATATTACCACGATAGAAATAAAAGAAATTCGATCCTCAACCAGTTGATATTGCATTGATTACGCCTAACAATGATCAGAAATCGTAGTAGAGAACTTAAGTTCTTTGTAGTTCATCCCTGTTGTGAGAAATCGTAATGTGGTTGCCAACCTTTCATGTAGTGATGATTTCTCTCATGACTGTCTTTTGTTTTCTAATCTAGGGGGTAACAAGCTGGAGTAAATATAAATAAGACGTTAATCTTTTTTTTTTTTTGGAAGGTTTTGGTTGAAATAAAAAAATAGCGTCACGAGGGGATTCGAATCCACGACATTCGGCTAAATACGCCGCTGCGCTAACCACTTGAGCTATCGTGATTTCGATAGTTCGATCCACTCGGGCACCAACTCCCCATCTCAACCTACAACCTTTCGAATTTTCTCTCTTTTTGCCATTTTTTGGTGTCGGAAAGGATCGAAGTCACAATAGCTCAAGTGGTAGAGCAGCGGCGTATTTAGCCGAAGGCCATGAATTCAGATCCCACTCGTGGCACTAGCTTTTTCATTTCAACCAAAACCTTACAAAAAAGATTAAATAATCGAAAGAAGTAATTTGGTCAACAGAACACTAAATATAATGAATAAATAAATCCTTAAATAGTTCCTCTTATCAGCGGGTTCAAGGGAAAGATCTGTACTCAAATTGATGTGGGTATTACGGCTTCTGTTCAGGAGCCACTTCTTACACCATTTCCTCTTCGATTTTTTGCTTTTAATATGTAAATAAACCGAATAGTAGCACAAGAGATCGTCATCCATTTTGAGAAGGTAATTCACTGGTTGACGTTCGGCGCGACTGGCTGTGGAGCGGTCGTGAATGCCCCCTCAAATTTCAGACACTCCAAATGGAGCTGTACGGCTTGGCGCGGTTCCATTTGGAGAGATCGTGAATGGCCACCTTAATAGAACACCCACTCTAAAATTCGAAGCCATAACCATCTCTAAAGAAAATAAGTACCTAGGTTTGACCTATGGCCAAAGGCTCATGTGGATGAGTCAGTCACAGCAAAAACTGAAGAGTAAATCCACCGATGAGTTTGCTGTACTCCCGGTCACACATAGAGCTGTAGAATGGTGGCCCAACACTGCGAAACCAGAGACAACGCCACACATCATTTGAACGTGCGAAGCACTAAACCGTATACTAACTTCGGTAATTTTCTCAAACCAAGATAAGTGCACGAAGAGGCACCGAGAAAGCTTTATGTGAAAAGGCGCACTTTCCGCGGTATGTTCTTAATCATAGGGGTACAAAATAGATGTAGGTCGCA